CCCCACACAGCTGACCAGTCATTTCTGTGTATTTCCACTGTATCGCACGAATCTCGACCCAGAGGAAGTGTCGGCAGGCACGGTGAGGCCCCTGCAGGCTGGCGCGTCTGTCTGCTCCCTCAGTCCCTAACTCCCTTGTGAGCCTGGACTGTGCCCTATTCACCGCGGAAGGCCTGATGCACAGTTGGTACTTGACCAGCATGCAGGTGAACTGAAAGCAAATGCCCATTCTTCAGACACGCAGACTTCTGCATGTGGGGTATAAAATGACAAGATTTCTGAGACGGGCTGGAAAATACTTCAACAAAGAACAGAAAGGAGGAAAAAGAAAGGCATAAATAAAGCGAATGTGGCAAAATCTTGATAACTAATCTGCTTGATGGGCTCACAGTAGTCTCTCTATTATTTCATACTAATGTTTGAATTGAAATTCTTGGCGCGGACCACCCACCCCGCCTCTCTCTCTCTCTCTCTCTCTCTCTCTCTCTCTCTCTCCTCTCTCTCTCTCTCTCTCTCTCTCTCTCACACACACACACACACACACAACTTCCTTTACCCCCTGTCTTACAGACCCATCTTTCGGAGCATAAAATGGCAGTGCTTCTCCTATGACAGGGAAGGACAGAGACTCAAGCCCCTGGCTTGTTTCCACATTGTCAAAAGAAGCTGAGACCAAGTGCCGAAGCAAAGTAAGAAATTTTTAAAAGGATTAAGAAGCTGAACTCTGTCATGACTAACCTAGTCATGAATTCAGAATGATCCAATTGAACTAACCTCAACACTCCCGTGTCAAGAAGGCTTTCTCACTTAAGAACTGGGCAAAGATCAACTGGCAGATTTTTTTTTTTAAATAATGACCCACTTCCTACCACATGCAATTATGAGTAAGACTGCGTATAAATTTTCTTAACACTAAATAGTGTACAAGTCATAATTTCCATGTGATTCAAACTGTCCCTCTATAAAATCTGAATCTTTTTATTCCCTAAGACAGATCTGCAGCATAGAACCCACTGATAAAATTTTCAACACTCACATTTAAGAAGTTCACCAATTTAAGAGTTTATTACATCAACTATTGCCTTTTAGCGAATCCATCTGCCTTGCCTGTCTCTTTCGCAAGCGTTCCCGGGGAAAATGTAATCCCTCGCTCAGAAAAAGGCCGAGCGAAAGGAATGATCAAAAAGCTTCATATATAGCCACACAAATAAGATTAAAATGATAATAAGCCGCCCTGTGAGCTGGTGAATACACACAGCACACATCTGTGCTCCTATGTCGACTTTCCTGAACCAGCTAGTGAAAACGTTCATCTCAAGGAACAGGTAGAAGAAATACATTTCGGGTCCTGAGAACCCAAATTATCTTTTTATTCACAGGTGCAGGGTTTTAGTCGGATTTCCATTTAATTTTCTGAGAAATGTTTAAAGTGGTCCAGAGCAACTGTGGAGATGGGGTTTACAGTGATTTTTATTTCTTATTAAAAATATATCCAGCTGACACTTATCATTTTTATTTCATTTGCTCTCACCCCCTTACCACCCTTCCCTAACTTCTTTCACCAAATGCTAGTGAATGTCCCCTCCAGAGACAGTAAAAACTACCTAATCACTTGGACATGTGCTTACGTGCTTTATTTTTCCAAAGAAATATGTTTTGTTCATCTGATTTACATATTAAGATCAGGAAACAAACTCTATTCAGTAAATGTGAACAAACACGTGAGCAGGTGAACGAGGGACGAGCAGCCCCGGGAGAGGGAACAGCCGTTAGGGGACCCCTGACAAAGGCACTCGCAGACATCACACGTGACTGGCCCCCGTGGAGAGAGGAAACACTACGACCACTCAGCCCGCGTGGCTCGCTTCTGCCCTGGAGCCAGCCCGGAGTTCCAGCCGAGGACACCAGAAGCAGCCACTGCAAGGCCACTGCGATCTTCCCGGGCATCTCCCAGGAGCACCGGATGGGGGCTCCATTCACAGCGCACGCGGGAACTTTCAAAAGACCTTTCTCAGAAACATACCTGGGACAACCGTCCATGAAGAAAATATTAAGGGATTCTGCATGTTCTGAAGGGAGTACGGAAGCAACACGATGGGAGGGAAACGGTGGCCTCGGGTTGTGAGACGGTTAAACGCTTGCAGCGTCTTGACTCGACTGGGTGAGAGGACCGGGAAGACGGGGCCACTGTGCGCGTGCGGGTGCGCACGGCCGGTGCCCGGCACACAGTGCGGCGTCCAGCACGAAGCGAGAGCCCAGAAACGCCCAACAGCGAGGGCTCCGGGAGGGGGCCCGGCTCTACCCTGGACCGCTGCATGTAGCACCGTCACTCGTGGCTGAGACGAACTCAGGTTCAAAATTACTCGGCCAACAATATGAGCCACACTCACGGACGGTATCCAACGAAGACAAATGTCAGGTCCCACGTTTACTTTTTAAAATACTAACAGCACGAGCACGGGACGGAGACCTGGCGAGCACACGGAAAGGCATGCTACTGTGTGAGCCCGGTCTAACACGCACAGGCGGGGACACGGTGGCGCTGGGCCTGCCGCGCCTGGCCCCCTGCTGCCGAGACAGGTCGTCTTAAAGGACTCTGGAAAACACTTTTGGAAAATTGTTTTTAAGTAAATGAGGCCAAAAAAAAAAAATTTAGATATCACTGTGCTCTCAGCCAAGGATACGGCAAACCACAGTCTGCACCCCCGTCTGGCCCGCCACCTCTTTCTGTAAATAACGTCCCGTGGCTTCCACACTGTCTGTGGCATTTCCTGCCACTGCAGCATTGCCGAGGGGCTGCCCCGGAGACCCCGTTGCCCACAAAATGCTGACTGTCGGGCCAATCAGAATCCACCCTGAGACTGATCTCAGAGGCGGAGTCTATCAAACGGAAGTGCTGCTTCGGGAAGATGCTCGGATCGGTGGGACGTCGGGAGAGAGCAGCCGTGAGGAATGATGATAGCGACGGCAGACAGAGTAGAGGAAGGCTCCGGAGGGACCTGAGCACTCTGCACACACCCAGAGGGTCGTCACAGGTGAGCAACTGCCTGTCCATTTCTGTTTCGAGGGCAGGGACTGGCCCCTTCACATGGCTTCTGTTACCTGGCACACCACGTGGCGCTGGCAAGAGGGCAGTGCATCATGTTGAATGATGTACAAAGAGCAAAGCAGACGTGCCCCGAGGCAGCCCAGGGACGAAAGGGAGAAGGCGACTTTTATTCAGTTTGGGGCGAGCCCTAGTAACCGGAACTACCCAAAAGCAGAGCTGGATTCGGCGTTAAGACCACAAGCTCCTCAGGTCAGCACACGCGTCTAAGTTGACACAAATGACCATATTTTGCCCTGGTGGGACAAGAATCTCGATGTCACCTCAGTCCGTGTCCTACCTGGAAGCCTGTGCCTTCACTAACTCTAGCTATGAACTGGATAAACGTGCTAAGGGTGTCCCACCTACAACTGAAACCAAAAGGAATTTTTTTCTCCTGCTAACTGCACTCTGCCTGACCCTGGGCTCACACCTGTGTGCACCTGTGGTTAGATTTACAGCATTATTTTTAACATGCCCTACCCTGCATTAATATTGCAGGATAAGGATTTATCACCAAATGCATACCTACGCGTGTACACATGTACCCAAGTGTACTTATTTTTGCTAATTTTGCTAAATTTCAAAAGCTACGTGAAATTCATTAAGGATTTCAGGGGTCCTGTGGATGACGTACTAGGTCCATGAGCTCAGGGCAGACTGCTGACTCCCACGGATAAAGTGTAAGAGTGCCAGCCCCCAAGCAGAGCACCATTTCTATTAGGATCGTGTCATCCTACATCCCCAAGGGCAGGACAGGGCTTTGGTCACCTTTGACCCCCAGCTACCAATCACCATGTCTGCCGGGTAGAGCAGGTGCTCAAGCAACACATGCTTATTTGAATTAAAGCGACACTTCAGTCCCAGCAACGAGGCTCGGGTACCTTTGTTGAAGTCTTTAGGGTCCAGCGACAGACTGTAGCCGGGAAGCGTCTCCAGGAGCAGTTTGTAGCAGGCCCTCCAGCCGGGCTCCGAGATGCTGGGGGCCACGCACTGCATGGCGGCCACGCGCTTGAAGAAGGCCGACTTGCGCCGGAAGCCGATCAGCTCGTAGAGCTCAGAGAGGATGCTGTAGCGCTGGATTTTTTCTTCTTCGGAAAGCTGAAGCACGGGAAGAGAAGTTAGAGGCTTTTGAGAGACACTTGAAAAGGAAAGAGAAAACAGAAAATAAAAGCTTTTTTGTGAAACAGACATGACTGAACATGAAGGAACGGGAACGCCGAGTGACAACGGGTCAGAGGGCGACCCCGGGACAGCAGCGAGGACGCTCCACGTGCACGTTCCAAACCTCCCACGCGGCTTCAAGTTCAACCTGTCCTTTTGCCGAGAAGGGCCGTGGTCCCCAGAACAAAGCTGCTTGCTACGTAGCTCATAAGACATCCGCTTTGAGCTCCGTCGTAAAAGAAAACAAGAGTTCACCCAGACACTGGGGGCTTGGCAGACACTTTCATCAGGTACGAAACTTCTCGAAACAGAGAACACACAGAGCCGTGTGACTGGACGATCCACTGTTAACACCAACAGTGCCTAACTTAGCCTTAGGACTCCACAGCGCACCAGCACTGGCCTGTGCCCCGCAACCCGCCTGCACTGTCCCTCCACCCCCTGACAGCAGTCACTTGTTTCTCAAGCCCCAACCATTCGCCAGCACACTTAACGTGCCGTATGTAATCATCGTGACAATCCCAAGCCCAGAGATAAGGAAATGTGAAGCTCAGAGGTATCCATTGCCCGTGTAAAATCACACAGCCAAGAGGCGTCAGCGATAAGACCTGAGTCAGGCTGGGCCTCTGCTCAGTACCTGTGTCCACCTGGCCACGCTGCAGCCACCTGAGACTGGATGGCCAGAGCCACCCGCTGCTCATGGCTGCCCGGCCTAACAAAGGGGTCCTCCCCTCCCCTGCCCTGGACGCTAAATCTGTTTCCGGATGTGTCTGGGGGAGCAGCAGCATAGTTCGGACACCCTGACGATGGCTGCCTTCCAGTCCCTGCCCGCCATTCTGCTCCCCCAGGCCAAGGGGTGCTCACTAGCTCTCACCCAGGGGACCCCTCCAAGCAGTCTCCCCGCCAGCCTTCTCCACCCCCCTTAAGCCACCGCGTGCAGCTGCCACACCAATGCCCCGTCACCGCACCTCAGAAACCCAGCATTTCTGTAACAGGGCGCCAGGTCCTCGGGGGCTCAGCCCAACCTGCCCTTGCGACTCTAGCTCCCGCCGCCGACCGTGACCTGGCCACACCGAACGACTTCAACACACCTGTTTGCTCATTCTGTCGACACGCGTTTACTGCATGCCTTCTCTGAGCACCCGGGGATACAGCAGAGAGCGAACGAGGCCAAGACCCCTGCCCTCGAGGGCGTCCACGCTGGCGACAGACAGGTTCCTGGCCTCTAAGCCCTGCTTGGAACCGCGGGGATGATGGCAACCAGTACGTGAACCAAGAGGTAAAATCACTACTCCAAGTGCGATGAAACATTCTACGAGACGCGCTTAGAGGAGGAATGAGGCGGAATCGACCAGGTGAAGATGCTCTCGGCAGAGGAAGAAGATCAAGTCCCAGGCTCCCTGCGTCTGCCAGCGCCCGCGCCCGTCCATCACTCATCGCCCCTTCGCCTGAGGGCTCCCCGCCCCGTCCCCTTTCCTGTTCCAGGTCTGACCCCGCCTTCGAAGACCCACTCCAGCGCCGCCTCTCCGAGATGCTCGTCCTGATGCCGCTCCTTCCGCTCCGGACTCCAGCACGTCACCTCTCTCCCCTGTAATGTGCGTGCTGAATCTCTGCCCCCCGACCCGAGAGCGGCAACGTCATCGTGCACTCAAACCAGCCACGGACAAGACCGACCGTTGGTCCCCGCACTCGACGTTGTCAGTCTCGTTCATTTCAGCCATTCTGGTGTCTTTCATATGCATTTCCTGAGTAACGGACGATGTGGAACTTAGTGGAGAGTTGGTTCAATCTTCTGCTCATTTTTCAAGTCAGACCACTCGTCTTATTATTGAGGTGTGGGAGTTCTTTACATATTCTGAACGTAAGTCCGTAGTCACACACGCTTTGCAAATACTTTCCCCCAGTCTGTTGCTCATTTATTTTCCTAATGGAGTCTTCTGATCGACAGTAATTGTCAAGGAGTTCAGTGTATCGTTTTTTCTTTTATGGTTAATGCTTTCTGCGTTCTTGTCTAAAAACCTTTACCTGCCCCGAGGTCCCATAGATATTCTGTTTTCTTCTAGAAGCTTTATATTTGGGTCTATGACCGTGGACATGCAAATTTGAGGAGGACACAGCCTCCGCTTTCCAGGAGCACACAGGACCGTTTCAGAGAGAGTCCAGGGCAGTGAGCTGCCAGCCACGCGCAGAGGACGGAGGCGGTCCTCACGGCAGCGGCAGGAGTGCTTCGTGCCTTCATCGCGAACCCCGAAACTGCCGGGCCTTTAACTGCACTGAAGAGCCAAGTATGACAAAAGACACGGAGGAGATAAAACAAATAGTGGTCACAGCCAGAGCCCTCGGTGAGGCCACCATCCGAAATAAAGGCGACAGCCAGGGCGAGAGCACAAGCCTTGACCTCTAGTCCATCTGAGTTCCCACTGACTCTTTCGTGGACCAATTAAAGATGAAAGGTTGTGATCACATGACTGTATTGAGCCGTCAAATGACCAATTAAAGATGAAAGGTTGTGATCACATGACTGTATTGAGACGTCAAACACTGTGTGGTAAGTGGAACTGTGATCACTGCCAGCCGTAAAAAAGATTCTTCATGGAAAAAGCCTGGGCACGAGAGTTTCGTAGCCCCAGCACGCAACTGACTAAAAAGCCCTCGTTGGCCGTGGGCCCTGTGGGCCTCAGGACGGAGCCCTGTCAGGTGTGCAGGGCCCACGGCACAGGACCCTGGGGAACGCGAAACGGGCCCAGGCAATATTTTAGGTTGGGATCCTCATGACATTCTGAAATGAAATCGAATCCCCAAACTCATTTCCGACCTGCTGTTCCCTGAGGGACTATTAATCAATCAGCACGCGCCTTCTTCTAATTGTTCAATAAGCTGCAAGGTCATGAAGGCTGAGCCTGGACGGGACCGAAGGTCCAGTGGAAGTGGCTTGAAGGCTATTCGGGACAAGTGGCTTCACTCACAGGGGACTCTCTGGGGAATTCACGTGTTCATTTGCCATTCCACCTCCAAGTTCAAAGTAGGTTTAGACCTGTTTCATTCTACTAAAAAGCAAGCCGTAATATTAGCAGGAAACTCAGGATCTAGGAAGGTCTCTGGCTGTCTGGAAGGATGGCATAGGGAGAGGACACGAGAGTCACAAAGGCCCAGGTTCCAGTCCCAAATCCGCACATGGCTAGCGCGGGCACCGCCCTTCTTAACGGGGGCAGTGAATCGAACTATGACTGTTGGGGAGACGAAGGGAAATAACGCGTACAGTCGGCAAGGGCCTAAAACTCCCAATGAGCACTCGCGACACGGGCAGCACCACCACCCGTCACCGCCCCTGACGGCACGTGTGCCGACCCCGAGCTAGCCGGCCAGAACGCTCCAGAAAACACCGACAGTTGCTTGGTTCACAGTCGGTGTCGTCCGTGGGTGCCAGCGTACCTGATAACAGAGGTGCTGGGCCTTCTGTCCTCTTCACACGGCAACAGAGCCTGTCGCACTGGGCTCGCTCCCGCGAGAGCAGCCCCGGCCGGCGAACACCCGCCCTGCAGGCACGTCCTTTCCCACTACAGAACTGACTGCGGTATAATCGTTCACCTTCACGTGTGCCCGCTGAGACCCTGCTTCCTCCTCCAGACTCTAAGCTCAAGCAGCGCAGAACCCCGTCTGTTCTGTCGCCCACAGAATGTTCTAGGCCCAGCAGGCACCGACACAATGCCTAGTGTCCGGACCCCCCGTCTGTCGTCCTCTCGCATCTGTGAAGGAAGTCTAGACGTCCGATACACAAATTTATGGACAGTCCATTAAAGTGAAACATGCACTGCCATTTATTAATGCCAGGTAATTACTGTCAACTACTCTCATAAACACACAAGAAAAGACAGATCGGTCCACGTTTCCGCTGGAGACACGGAGGGATGCGCCTGGAATTCTTCCGTTATGTGCAAGAAGCCTCCCAATGCCACTAAGTCCAAGTATGTTGTTCCTCAGCTTGTACATCTGCACCAGGCTTCTTAAAGCAGAAGGTACCTGCAATGGTCACGTCTCCGTTCCCGTCTAAATTTCACATTAGCCCAAATCACTCCCAAGAATAGATACAACCCATCAATTCCGCAAAGGAACGCACTTGATCAATTACCAAACGCTGTGTCATTTCCAAAAAACGACAGACCCCTTTTTTTATTGTTATTATAAAATCCCACCCGAACTCGTTATTTTGCTGTCTGCTCTGCTCATCTGGCAAGCAAACGTGGAGATGAGTCATCTAAAGCGAAGCGTGGTGTTGGGGACAACTCAGAAGGCGGGGCAACA